GAAATAGTTACAATGAAAATTCAGCTTCCTTTTATTTCAGAAGCATTATATGGGCCCAATCTGGCATATATGCTTGTGAGTAACTCAACCTCTGCAAAGAAGACCTTTTGAATTGAATAGTACTACCCATGAGTAAAACTACATGCATAAATGCTTCTAGGATCATGTTCTGTTTGCATAGTATGTGAAACATTCTTTCCCTGTTCTGAAGATAACTTTTGTCCCTAATAATATATTATTACTGTATATATTTGGGGAGATCCATGCTTAAAGGGAAAAAGCAGAATATTTGGGTTGAGATGTGTCATGTGACTAAGTGCAGGATTTTTCTCCCCGTTATGTTGGCTTGTCTGACCAGGCTTTTCTACTCGGGATCTCTTCTGATGTTTTGTGCCAGAACTCACTGGCCCAATTCTGTTCTTGGTTTTCCTAGTATAAACTTGGAGATACCACACTGAAGTAAGCCACATCAAATCCACTGGATCCATAGCAGAATTGCTCTCCATCTTTTCTCACCTTCCACTGCTGATTGGATGGGTCCCCTACTCAACATGTTGATTTTTGGATAGCAGAAGTGTGTAAACTGCTGAAAAAGGGATTTCTCCTAATGTGCTCCCTCCTTCATGACTGTAAGTCAAGAGAACAAGGGATGAATTGAAATCCCCACAAATACCCTGTAGGCATTCAGCACCTGGTCACTATGGGCCTTTAGGAGGAGGGCAGTTCCTTCCCATGGCATTTTTTCTCTTTCTAAAGATGCAAGGAATGGAGTTGCTGTGCTCTTCAAAGGCTAAGTAGTGTCCTTTGGCAAGCATCAGCGATGTGAGCATGACATGTAGGATACTTGTCATAACCGGCGTGTGACCTGTCTTTTCAGAATAACACTGTCATTGGACAGGCACGATATCGGAGTCATTGTGTACAGGAAGTGTCTAGCTCTGCCTTTAATCACTTTCCTTCCATCCCCTTTCTTATCCCATCATAAAACCCTGTGCCTCTTTTCTACTTTATGGTAAGAAAGAGCCACCTCTTTTCTTCTGCCCCACAGCTCTGTGACTAAATTCACATTGTTAGTGAAACTGCCGGCAAAGTGAATTGTCACCAGTGTCTCAAAGCCTTGGTTTTGTTATGGTTTCACCTCAGTTTGTGAGAAAACACCACTGGTGCTTTCTCACAAAACCGGAAAGTGACGTTTCTGTCTCTTCTGCAAAAATACAAGGGAGCAATCTCTTCCTGGTAGATTTCATAGACGTTCGGGCCGGAGGGACCTCGGGAGATCATCGAGTCCAGCCCCCTGCCCCAGGGGCAGGAAGTCAGTAGCAATGAAACCCAAATGGGGTGAATTTTGGTATGGTCCAAACCACATTTTTTCAGTTTCCCCTGAAAATTTTCCCTTCAATTTTCCCTTTGAATTCTTTGGAAAATGTGAGGAGAACTGAAGGATGTACTGGGATCTTTGCCCGGGCTTTAAGGTGCCCTTTTGCTAGTTGACAGTTGCCTTGTCTGTCTTTGCCCCTTTGTGTGGTAACTTCGGAGTGGGAAGGGGCAACTGTGAGAGAGAAGGGCATAGCCCCAACTATATCCTGGGGTAAAAAAAACCTGAATGTTTAATGCTCAAAATTTTTCCTCCTAGAAGTCTCTTCTGAGCCCTTCTCTGAAGTCCTAACATATTTTGCTTTCTTTTGTTTGTTCAATCCCTTAAACAGTGCAATGACCAAGCACTCAGTCCAAATGTTGCCAGTGGGTATAAATCTGGGCCCCACCGTGCTCCAATCCCAAAGCACCTAGGAGAGGGGATTATAAACCAAAGGAAATATATCCTTCAACCTGCAAATGGTGGACTAAAGTAATGCGTTACTAAAGTAGCACCACCAAACTGACAGGCCAGTCCCTGATGCTGCATCCTGAGAAGCATCTTTTCCACTGGTGTAAACTGGAATAATTCAGTTGATTTCACCTTTTCCCACCTAAGAACCTGGTCTTAATTGTTGTTAAAACTGTACTAGCTGCAATCTTTTTTTCTTTCTTTTATTTCCATGCAAATTTTAACGACAAGAAAGAAGAACAGTGGTGGAAAGACATCCAGGGAATAAGACAATAATAGAGAATGGGTAATAGGTTGTCCTTCAGCACTTGTCAGGTCAAGAGGGCAGAAAACGACAGTGAGAGAAGCCCACTGTAAAAATCATTGTAGGTGGAGAATTTGTTCCATATTAGGGCTCCTGCCTGTAGTCCTTATTCACAGGCATGACCGCTCCTGTGAGTAATCCTAATGCAAGTAGCTCTGCTGAGTTCCAAGGGAATTATTAATGGGAGCAATCCTTGTAGACTTGCAAGATTATCTTGCATGAATATTCATTGACTGTATCAATTCATCTAATTTATTTTGGCTTCTGGCTGAGTGACCATGGGCAAGTTGGCTCTTGAGCTTCAGTTTTTTTCTTTGTAAAAAAGTGGCAACAGTACTTGGGACAGCTAATTTGATAATGGGCTTGATTCTAGGGTCCTTATATAGGCAAGCTTTTACTGAAATCGCTGGTAGTTTTGCTGAACAAACAAAATAGTGATGGATCAGACTTAATATTTGTACAGGGCTCGGGGGGTGTAAACTGCAGTGGGTTTCCTCCTAAAGAATGGTGTGCACCATGATCTGGCAAACATTTAAGAATTTGCAACTGGCTTACTAAATGGGAAATACTCCTGTATCTCACTTAAACTCACACTTACATGCATAGGACCTATGGATGTTAAGGATGGTAGTTAAACAAGTTTAATCCTGATGGAAAACTTGGGAACAATTTGTTCCTTTTAAAAGCAGGATGAGAAGCTCGAAGAGAATGAGGGCTAGGAGCAGGACCCTCCCTAGTGAAATGGCTGTTGTGGCTGAGCTGAGTTTTCCAGAATTAAAAATTCATTAGCAGAGAGAATAGGCAATAGGAAAAACTTGCTGTTTTGACATTATTGCTCAGAAGGAAGGATTTCTCTTGTTAGGCCTGATCCAATACCCAGTTAAGTCAGTGGAAAGGCTCCCACGGCATTCAGTGTCCCTTTGGTTGACTTTTAGGCATTTGAATAAGAATCACCTTTGTAGGGTCTGATCCTATGAGATGCTGAGCACCTTCAGCTCCTTTTGAGCTCCTAAAAGTTGAGGGCCTCATTGGAGCAGGCAGTACAGAATGGAAAGGTGCGAGCACTTCACACCCGTGCTTCCTGCTGCAGGCTCTGCACCTTGCATGACTTAGAGCTGTCAGGGCTAGTATGAAAGAGCCCAGGTCATGCTATTAGGTGGGCAGTGACAAAGTTCTTGTTCTTTACACGTGTAATACAGTGCCCACCAGGTGAGAAGGCTGCATGGGCAGGTAAGGAGATGGGAGCTGCTTAGGAGATGAAGGCTGCCCAGAAGAGTTTGTAGTCCAAAATGATAGGTATGAAAATGTAGGAGGAATGGAGGATAAGAGCTGAAAAGCAGGGAGGAGGAGGGGGGCATTTTATTTGGAGGAGGTTTTCTGCCATTTGGCTCATGAGCTCCAAATCTTTGTGCTCTGTATCCTTGATGTGCATTTCTTCACATTTAAAAGAGGATTGATTGTTACTTGGAAGACATAGCGTCTCTTAGATGTGAGGGTCTGTGCTTTGGTAGCTGGAGAGTGCTGGATGTGAAGGAACTGATTTTAAAAACACCTGGTTCATAACCTCATGTTTTAAGGACTTAAAATGGTAATATCCTCACTCATTCACCCCCCCTACTATATAAATTCTCCCATTGATTTCAGGTGTCTTAAACATGATAAAAAAGACTATTCAGCCTGGGTAGGTCTGCTGCAGTTTGGCCCTAGAAGATCAGATGCACCATTTTAATGTAGGGTTTTCTGTATTTCTTCCATTTGATTATTTAGGATATTGTTTGGTTTTATTTTCCCTTCAGAAATTCAAATCCTGGTTAAATTTAAAGCATTGCTTACAGAGTGCAAAAGACAAAGGCTGGGAAAAGGGAAGAAAGAAATCCCCTGCAGTGTAGCTGAAAGACTTGAGCACTAAACAGGTACTGAGAACCCTTGATTCCTACTGGGCAAAATGAGAGTAGAGGGTACTCAGCACCTCACAGGGTCTGCTGCTTTCACACACAGTTTTGTCTCGGTTCTTCCCAGGCAGCCTTTTGGTTTTGTTTCCTCTCCCCTGATGGTTGTGTTTTGATTTAGGGATATTTAATAGGCAAACTCTGCTAATTTTGTTGCCTTGTTTCATTCCGTCATCAAACAGAACCTTTTCCTAGGGTTTGGGGATTAATTTTTACCTGTTATATGGTTATTGTTACCCATTACTTTTACCTACTCAGTTTTATGAATCAGATTGACCTGCTAAGGTATTTGATTGGTTGTGTAACTAAGGGTTTCAGTGTTCCTTCCTGTGATAAGACACCTGAAGCAAGCCTTTCCTTATCTAGTCACTTTTAAAACATTAATATTTTAAAAAGGAGCTATGGTGTTGACTTTTTTTCTGGAGGCATGATCCTTATCTTTGCTCAGTTAACTTCAATTTGTCTTCCTACCTGAGACAGATCTTCAGGTTTGAAGAAATCATTTTCAGTGTAAAGCCTTGGTTTTGGCATCTGTGCTAAATGTATATTTTGGTTTGCATTTTGTCATGCTTACTCTAAAACTGGAGGACAGTAAATAAGGAAAGTAAAAATCAGGGCTTTAACACTATTTTTTGCTGTTGTTTTTCCCTGGAAATACACCGGCAAATCTCATTTAAATCATATAATTTAGAAATTCAGCCAAGATGTTGCACATTTCATAACAAGTGAAGTCACTTAAGTGCACTGAGCATTTTCTTTTCCTTTAGAAGCTGATTTTTCTTTTGCCCCAATATCAGATATCAGGAATGGCAATGTAATAAACCATGTGATCAAAGACATCATGCAGGAGTAGAATCACTACTTAATGGATAGCAAGAAAAATCAGGATTCTCATTCTCCCTAACCCCCAGTGCCCACATACCTGTGGAAGTAGATTGCACCGTTTTCCGCATCCATTCATAAGAGCTGTGCCTTTGAGGGTTGGGAGAGATTTGCTCCGTGTTAATTGTATCTACAGGAGGTAAAACCACAGATCCAGTAGGATGGAGAGAGTTGTAATCAGTAGAACTGTAGGAGACCTGCCCAGGAGAGGAGCCATTGATCTGTGCAGCAGTAACTGTGCTGGAGGGTCCGGGCCCATAGGCATTCCAATCCTCTCTTTGTGGACCATAGTGAGATCCCCAGGTTCCTGAAGTCTGTCCATGGTTGTCCATACTTGGCACATGATGATATCCCATATAATCTGAGTAGGGTGGCGTAGAGACAAAGTTTTGCACTGGCAGGTTGTTATTGTTGCACCTTGCAGATCCCGGATACATGCTGGCTTCTTTATCCAAGAGATAACCCACATACATGATGCTCATAGCCCGGCTGTGTCTTGCCAGGACATCCTGCTCCTTGCAGTGGTTGTTTGATCTCTTCCCCCTCCTCTTTCTTTCTCTCTCTCTTTTCTAGTCCTAGCTGGCTCTATAAATGACTCATGCTAGCCCTGATGTCCCTTTACTACACATGATTAACAATGGTGTTACCAGGTGCTGGTGGTAACAGTTTACTAAGGTTCTGCCTGATGTCACAGATAACTGCCTGCCCCAAAATTACATTTGCATTCAAATGAAGGGCTGACCATGCAGGCAACCCCACCTTGCTGCTAGTTCTGGTGCTTCCTTTCTCACAGATTCTTTATGTATGCCATCCTGGTCCTATCCTCTTTAAATGCACTCTGACCTGCCTTGGTTTTGGCGCCATGTCACACACACACAACCAGTAATGGTTTAGAAAGCTAACAAAATAAGTTAGTTGAGCAGTAAGTAGTTCCTAAGGGAAATTTTACATGGCAACACTGAAAAATATAGAAAAATAGCATCAAGGAAACCCCACACCTCATCTTATCATTCCTTATTTCTTTTGTGCCTATACTGTGCTAAGTACTCTGAAGAGAGGAATATAAGAATATAGGTCTGTGCTTCAAGGAGCTCGGTCAGAATCTGAATTCAGGTTCCAAGTTCTGTTTGCCTAGTACTTGATACCTGCCAGTTCCAGAGCCATTTTTATGTTCTGGTAGAGCCAGAATTTTCAATATTAAAAATATTTTCATACTGAAAACTAAAAAGTAGATTATGCAGTTCTGACTCAGGGTGATTAAGCACTTGCTCACACAAGCAGCCCTATTGACTTCAACCCTTTTTTATATTGGTGAGCACCTACAAACCACAGCAGCCCTATTAATTTTAAGCTATATTTACATTATCAAGGGCATACACAAGATGTCTCCATCCTATAGCAAGCATCTACTACATACAGGGGAAGGCTCAGCATTAATGAGTGCACTGGTGGGGGTAAGTACTTTTCAAAATGAATCAGGATTCTGCAATTATCTTTAAAGTTTAATTGAAAGAGAGTCTGTTCTGATTGAGGACCCTAAAATGGTTAATTCCCCGCCGCCCCACCTTATAACTGTTTGCCAAATGGAAATATCTTATCTGTAATGACCCTGAACAAATTCAGTTTTAATACTCTTTGGGGGTCAGATCCTGCTACCTTTACTCTCACTGGGCACATCTACATGAGATGTTTACTGTGGAGTAGACTAATTAGCTCTGCAGTAAATGTCTGTTTACATGTGCGACCCTATTAGGCTGCAGGAAACTACTAAACTCTGTAGGAGGTTAGTACTTGTAAATCTAAGTACTATGCTGTTGCAGAGATTTTTTTTCTCCGCAGTACTACATGTGTAGACACCAATGTGGCTGGCTGGGGTACAAGGGTGCTTCAGTGTGAGGGCTGCCTGTTAGCTAGCCCTGCAGTGGAGCATCCTTGTGACCCACCCAGCCCCTCTGCAGCACAAGGTGCATTGGAGCAGTCCTGGGCTGGCAGGATGCCCTCCCTCCCCCCAGTTCCCTGTCAGCTGGGGCTGCTCTGACATAGGTCAACAATCTGCGGTCCTGGGTACACGTGTAAACATGGTGCCCAAGAGCAATAAACTCTGGCATGAATATGTAGGTGTAGACATGCCTCCATGAGCATATATAAAGTAAAGCAGAATCCAGCTTTTTATCTTTAAGAAAAAAGTGGTAGCTGCTTCCTGTTCATGAACATGAACAAATCATGCTGGGATTAATAGAGATAAAACATGCAATAAAAATTCCACTTTTAATTTCTAAGGGGAAAGGGAGAGAGGGTAGGTTTTTTTAAAGAGGTAGACACCTTGGCACTGTCTTGGCATGTAACTGTGTCCTATTTCCGATTTTGAGAAAATCCTACTAATAATGTGATACTTAACTGCACCTTTATTAATGAGCTGACAGGTTAAATGGATATTTTTGTTAAACAGGTGCAAAGTATAATGATCTCTTTCTTTGTTCAGAGGTGCATTTTTTCTTTAAGGGTCTTTTGCACTTTGACACCATTTAACCAGGCCCCTCATCCTGGTTCCCAGAAGGAAGGAGTCTCTTCACACACCTGACAGGACTACTCTGTTTCCTCTCCTGAGACAGGAACATCCTTATGTCCTGGTCACATCAGGGCTAGTAGCTGTATTTATGGGAATTGTTTTAGGACATGATAGTAAAGCTGGGGAAAAGGTGCAGACTTTTTTTCCATCAATATCTGTTAATGTTTTCCAGTGGTTTTCTTTGCCTCTTTGCTCTATGCTTCCCATGAATGTTTGCTGGATGCACTTTTACTGGCATGATGGTTGAAAGGGTCCTTTTAAACCAATACAAGGGAATGTTTGCAGAACCTGAAGCTTGCATTTGCACAAACAAGGATTTAGTGCCTGATGTGCTTGTAAGTTCAGTCAGTCATTATTTGCAGCCCTGTGGCTTATCTTACTAATCAAAACAAACCAGTACCTTTCACATGCTAAATAGTTGTTCTTAATCAATCCAGAATTAAAATAAAATTACATAAGCTTTTGAATAATGAACATAATTGAAGTAAATGTAATACAGATGCTTTAAGGACCACCAACTTGTGTATAAGTGGCAGCTGCCTGATCATGTGATGATACCACTTCTGACCCAGGAGGACAGGCATATCAATGAGATGTCACATTGGTGTCAGAGCTCGCTGCATGAATTGGGACCATCATTTCAGACCTGCTTGTATTAGATGACTGAAGCCATTCTACAGCTGTGATGTTAAATTCTTTGGTGTTCTAGCATAGTGCAATGCCATAGAAGTCATTCATCTGTACAGAATATGTTTAAAATTCAGTTTGATTTTTGTCTGTACTAGCAAGATGAATCCATACTGATCATTCTTTATAATTACTTCTCTCTCTTGGTTTTTTTTTTTTTTTGAAGTGTCCATCACTGTTGTATCTCTCTGCTCTGTGATTTAAACCCACAACTCCTTTCATAGAGTTTTCCAATACATTTTATTCACCCTTACCATGGAAACAAACTTGATGTGTGATAATTGTGGGTGCTTAACAACTGCCAGACCTGGAGTGAAATGGTTATAATAGAAAAGACTTATCACTCATTGTAGTAATTTTATTTTAGTTACCTACCTTTCAAAATACTAGTTTGTTCCAACACTTCTCTCCTTATAAAACTACACACACACAAACTCCCTCAAATGCAGATGTAACTATAAATCACCCACAGGAAGAAGTAGCAGTTGTTGTGGAATTCATTTACAGTACCACCAGTCCTAGCCCTCCAGCAATCTGGAAACCGCTTTCATTAGGTTTGTTCAACATTACAGCCTTGTAACCCTTAGGAATATAGTGCAGTAACGGCCCAAAATATAGTAGGCATGATGGGACTTGGCAGCATAATTTGCATCTTGATCTGCTGAGCTTCAGTGTTCAGGAATGTTTGGATCACTGCGCTCTACCAACACCACAATTCTCAACACAGTCATAACACTACTGAGAGAGACCTGACTTTCACCCTTATTATTTAATAATACGGTATGCTTTTCTGCAGAGAAATCTTTTGCATTTGTGCTGGAAGAAGACAACATTGTGCCTAGACAGTACTTATTAAATCATTCTTTTAGGAAAGTCTTCTAGAATAGTAAATAAAAACATGATAATAGAGCTGGGTGCAAGGTGCAAACTATTTTCCATGAATATCTTTCAAAATTTTTCAGTGATTCACTTTGTCCCTTTACACTTTGCTTCTTATGAATGTTTGTAGGACGAAGTTTTACTGGCATATAATAAATAATAATACTCCTTGAATTGATACATTTTGGGTGCATCTACACCTGCATTTATATCACGTTAAATTTACTGCACAGTAAGCAGGTTTATGCTGGTGTCTACACATGCAGGCATTAAAGCGCAGTAACGCTGTGTGTGGATCGACTTGGGATTAAAGTTAGTCCCAAATCAATCCATACATGCACTGTTACTGTGCAGCAAGGTGTCTACACGTGCATTACTGCACAGTAACTAATTGGGTGTAAATATTATACCCAAGCAGCATAAGTCACCACATTTACTGAACAGTATGGGTGTGTGTGTGTAGATGCCGCCCGTACTGCTCAGTAATTTTCAGTTACTGTGGAGGAATTTTGGTTACTGTGCAGTAAATGTGTGTGTAGATGTGTCCTTTGATTATTCTGGTTAATGTTGACTTAAATGCTACTGGTGGATTACTTGCTATACTGATGTGTAAGGAGACTATTTCCACGTTACTTATGGAATTGGTATTGGTATAGTAGGTAAAGGAAGTGGTATACAACATATGACTTCTGAGCTGACACTATCCCTTTAATACTATAACTCCCTTGGACAATGTGTTGTGAGGCTGGCTAGGGAAGCTTTGAATTCTTGGGATCCTATTACTCCAGCTATTGTTGTTATCATTACTTGAATCTGCCCTTATTGTGCTATACCATCTCCAGACATGGAGGTGTCTCTTTGTTTCTCTGACATGGGACATTTTAGATAAATAAAAATCAAAATGTTATTGTAGAGTCTGATCCAGGGTCACATACTAGTGATTTTAGAATTGAGTTGCTCTTCATATTTTCCAGAAACAATTAGGCCTATGCGAAGCAGCTAGTATTCACTTTGGATTTGGATTCAGCCAATTGGGGAACATTGATTCAATTTGGTGATTGGAATCATTGTCCCAAATCGATTCAGCCAAATCTGATTCAGAGATTTGGCCACTGCTGAATCGGCTGAATCTTCTAATCAAACAGGCCCCATCCTCCACCCACTCTCCCAGCCCCGTCAATGGCTGCCCCACGTGGCCCCAGGATCCCGGCACTTAAAAAAAAAAAGCAAAAAAGCCCCGCATTCACCAGCTCTTGCCAGGTGGGGGAGCGATCCCTGCTGCCCCCCACTGCCCTGCATGTGAGGGCTCTGCCATGAGCCCCCAAAGCTCCTGATGGC